TACATTTGCTTTAGCTCGGATCTACAATAGGTGTTTTAAGGTTTAAACCGTACGAAATATACGAATTATATTCGATTATTCTCCTCGCATTCAATTGTAATTAGTCAATTTTAAAGACAGATCAGACTACGTATTGAACATTGAGATTGAAGACTGAAAAATTGAAATTTGACCAATAAAAAAAATAGAAACTAAAATTCCTTTGTTGTCATTGGTCTTTCAATCTTTAATCTCAATCTTCAATGCATAGTCTGATTCCGGCCTAAAGCCCGATGTCCACGATACTAGAAATCAGACAGAGAAAAAAATTAACAAATTATATTTGAATAATTTGATCACATGACCATTGCGATTGGTCAATTCTTTCTTCATCCGAGATCTCGGACCGATTTCTAGCATCATGGACACAAGGCTTTACAATAGATATATATCCTGTAATGTCCATATCACACTACGCATTAAAGATTGATTGCGAATTGAGGATTAGAATTCAGCCAATTAGAACGAAACGGATTAAAATTAGAACTATCTGATAGGTCGAATTCTAATCCTTAATTCACAATCCTTAATCTTTAATGCGTCGTGTGATTCAAGCATAAAGCCTGTCTATAAATTTGTATAGCCGTATAAAGAAAATTATCCAATCGCATTTCGTCTCCTTTTAAAATTATAATTTTTGTCTGTTTCTCGAAAATGTTTTTTTTCAAATAATCACTTAAAAGGATGGAAACGCTTTATAGCCTATACGTATTTATTTATCTACATTTATATGTGTGTATTATAAATTAAATATACAAATATAATGTAAATATTAATATATTTATATAATTTTTTCTTGAATAAAATTATAATATATGAATATTTTTAGATAGAAGCGTCGGAGCGAGTTTTGATATTTGATCGTAATTTGCGGCCATCTTCATATGGTGAATTATACAAAAAAGAAATCATGACCTCGCACGTCCAAATACGAAAAAGAAATTCCCTAGCCAATTTGACAGCTTTCTGCTTTCAATTTTTGTCGATTTCCCCGTATTTGTCCTCACCGTGTATGTGTGAAGTTGCTAATGATAAAGTAAATTTTGTCCACGATCCAACGAAATATGTAATACAAGAAAAGAAAACTCAGAAGAGTCAAAAATTCAGAGGGAAGATAAAATAGTCGATCAACAGTAACATGTAATTTTCAATTTAAGGAAAGTGGAATGACGAGGTAAACGTCAAGAGGTTGACAGGCGAACACGCTGACAAGCAAAGATCAATGTTTCTCTCTACCTGGCGATGATCGTGCAATAAAACCGGGCCATGGAAGATAATAGCAAGGAACGCCGGGTCCTGCAGCACTATGTTGCCAAGCAAGACACGGTATTGATACGGATATTCGGTGCGTGCGACGTAAACGTTAACAAGTTACGTCTGGGAATGCTTGTAGAAGCACTGGAGGATTTGAGGGAGAGCGTGTTGAGGATACGCGTGACCGACACCGTTGGCGGATCTAAGACCTGGTGCGGCACGGAATGGCGTTGCCACAAGTACGACCTGATCCCTGTGTCGCCGAAGATCTGGCAGTACCTGTTCGCTGTTCAGTCTCCACAGGAGAGAATCCGACTGGCAAACGACGAGGTTCTGTGCGAGCAGATAAAAACTATATCTCTGAACGACGTAGCCTGGTATTGCTCCGATCCCGCTAATAGACGTGCTAGAGAATTGGCGTTTGTCAGATACATCGGACCTGTGCCGCAGCTTGGATTGGGACATTACTTTGGCCTTGAACTAGTGGTGAATTGACAAAAACCGCTTTCAGTTGCTGCTCTTGTTTTAAATTCTCAGTTTTATAATGAAAAATAGAGTATATCATGTACAAGGAATAGACAAGACAACTATGAACATCTGAGGAATATATATATGTTATTGTATTTGTTTTATCGATAAGGAGTTGGTCTGTCATTTGTCTTGAATATAGATTCTGCTATTATTGGAGTCATGCTTGAAGAATATCATAACAGTTGTGGTACAATGTTATATGTCATTCTTCTAGCAGAATCTCTTCTAATTGCTTAAAAGATAATGGAAAAGAAAATCTGTTTTTTACTCTGTTCTTTAAAACTATAAAAAAATTCAATTATATTTAAATCAGGCAATTGCATTGGTCAGATGTTGGGAGTTTTGGAGAACAGGACAATTTTGGAAAATAGCAAATTTCTTTCTTCAATATTATTTATATAAGTAATTAAAAGATTTTTCTATTAAAAGATAATATATTATATTGATAACTATTCAAGAATTGTGTGATTCTATTCCAATAAGGATAGAATGTCTGTAAAAAGTAAATGATAGGTAACTCTCTTATTAATAATAAAATAAATAATGTATTTCGCAGACATTCATATTATTTTGTTTATCTCCTATATATAAAGTCATAGCTTTTCCTTGTACCTATAGTTATTACATACATAAAAAGGAATAAATAGAATTAAATTCCAAAATGAGTCAGCAAATAACATAGTTTTACTTTTGGATTAATTTCAAATAAATCTTATCTCGGGATATATTAGATTTTATTATAAAAATATTTAATTTGAAAAATGAAAAGCATGCATAAAATATAAAATTATATCTTTTAATCTTTATCAAAAAATTGGTTACAGGATATATCCTGGTAAAGAGCAAGTGTTTCACTCTTAAGATAAATTTACAATATAATAAACAATAAGTGAACACATGTCACATCAATATGAAATGAAATTAACGATAATTATGTTTATATATATATTACAGGAAAGTCAGGAATTGTCCAAAACATCCTTATTGACTAAAGAATATTTTATTCCCACACATTGGAATGCTGCTACAATATTTGTTACTATAATTAATATATTACCTTACAAAGAAACTGACTCAATCTCTGACAGCATTGAAAAAAGTATCCATTAATCACAATTCATTAATTAATCATTTATTTATTAATTTAATGTTTTTTTTGTTATTTTTATAATCATGTAATTTGAATATTTTTATATTTCAGTATTGCTTTCGAAAAGTAATACAGGAACTGACTATAATAACGATAAGAAAAGATCTGTACTTGACAGTACACCAGCTGTTTTATTAGAACAGTTTACTCTATTTGATGACAACAAGAATAACAACCAAGAATCTGTCAACATATTAAAAGAACGCCATCAAACCGGGAAGTCAGATCTTGAAAATGATATTAATAACTATACTCAAACCGTCGAGCATACTCTTTTTAAATGTGGTAATTTTACAATCGTAAAAGCAACAAATATTTATTAAATATATACTTATTCTATCGATACTTTTCCCTAAGAACCCTAAAACTAAATTAGCCCCAATGCTGGACTTTAGTTTCTTCCGTGCGATAGAGGGAGTTAATAATAGCTCAGGTATTTTAAAAATAGATGCACAAAACCTAGCCCGACTTCCTAGAGGGCTGCTGCCAGGTTATAAAACGCTTTAAAACTATTGTATTTTTGTTTAACAATGGCAGCAGAACTGCAGAACATTCCTATTTTTGTATTGGAGCACAAATGGAGTAGTGATATAGAATCAAATGTATACAGTGATGTGGAAGATACGCGTGGCATAATGTTGGATTACAGTAAGATACAGTTGACATGCTACCTCTACTGCACTTTTAACTCACGTTTATTCTTCCGCGATAATATTTATACTTTTACATCAGTAAAGTGATTATTCTTTACATATTACTTTTAAGTATTATATAGAAATATATTGAATAATACAGACAATTAATTACAATTAGCTGTTAATTGCAATAGGTAATGGTGAAAAAAACGAAACCAAGAAATTTAACAGAGTAGAGAATAAAGGAGATCTGATAGTGGGCTCTAATGTGAAAGTACTTCTGGATTCAGATATTCATTACGGAATTATTCGATGGATCGGCTCACCGCCTGGTACAAGTCCTAGCAAATTGATGGCAGCTGTTGAGCTGGTGAGTGAAATGAGTATATTATATATAAATAGACTATTTTACATTTTAAAAGAACAATAGAACAGATTAGAGCGTTGTTTCATTTATAGGATAATGGACATCCTTTAGGTACCGATGGAACTTACAAAGACGTCAGATATTTTCATTGTAGGCCTTACAGAGCTATATTCACAGACATTGAACACTGTTCGCATTACGAAAGTGTTAGTAGAGTGATTTATTACTTTTTCAATATTAATTTACGTCATGTTTGTTAATTATGAAAATAAGTAAATTATGGGAACATTTGTCATAAATAGACGAAGCTCAACGAACGGCCTGCACTTATAAATAACGATAATTTCGGTAATATGGAGAGTTCTGTAATAACGGGTATAGTTCGGCCTATCTCCGTCAAAGGAGATTTGGAAAGTATATGTGGGAAGTATCGTGGTATTCAAGGCCATCACAATTCGTGCTATTTGGACGCTACTCTTTTCAGCATGTTCACATTTACTAGTGTATTTGACAATCTACTGTTTCGGTAATTAATTTTGTATTTTCGAATTGTATTTTGTAATTAAATATATTTGCTGATTAAAAAGATTATTTCTCTTCGAAAGGAAACATGGATTTTGTTACATAAATAGTAAGTGTGGTGTTCTTAAAAGTATTCATAAAAGTTTTTGTATAATGACTTTTTAGTCCACCGAATGAAAAAGATTGTCCACAATATGAAGAAGTGCAAAGGGTCTTGAGAGAGGAGATTGTAAACCCTTTGAGAAAAAATATGTTTGTCAGAGCGGATCGTGTAATGAAACTTAGGACGTTGCTTGAAAAACTATCGTCAGTATCCGGCCTCACTAGCGAAGAAAAAGGTCTGCTTTTATATTTCGAAATATTGTGGGTTCTAATCGCTTTACTAATGACTCTTAATATATTTTTTATATTTAGATCCGGAGGAATTCTTAACATCGCTAGTCGCCCAGATTTTGAATGCTGAACCATTCCTCAAATTAAGTTCCGGACAGGACGCTTACCATTACCAATTGTTTGTCGAAAAGGACGACCATTTAAATCTACCGACTGTGCAACAATTATTGGAGCAAAGTTTTCTAACTAGTAACATTAGATTGAAGGAAGTTCCTTCCTGTCTCATCATACAAATGCCACGCTTTGGAAAGTCATTTAAAATGTATCAGAAAATACAGCCTACGTTACTGCTCGACGTGACAGATATTATCGAAGACTGTTAAGTATATCAAGTTGCAGAAATCTCTTTTATTTTAAACAACTCGCAGTAACATTAATATGTTACTTTGCAGCACCCAGACAATGCACAGTGTGTGGCAAATTGGCGGAATTTGAGTGCAAGGAGTGTTATGGACAATGCGGCGTCGGCCTCGAAAGTATAGCTTTCTGTTTACAGTGCCTTGAAAAAGTAAGCTTCGTAAAGCATGAGATTGATATACATATAAACATAAGACATCAAAAAATAAATTATTTTGTGTATTTCTTTTAGGTACACCGTCATGAACGAAGAACAAATCACGAACCAAAGAAGCTGAACGTACCTATGGAGTTTACAATTCTGCAAGAACATTGTCCCGTACCGCGTCTATATTTGGAGCTATCCGCGGTGGTTTGCATCGAAACTTCGCACTATGTTTCATTTGTAAAATGCGGTCCGGGCTCGGAGGCTCCATGGTGTTTTTTCGATTCCATGGCCGACAGAAAAGGTACTTCTCACTCATATTTATATAAATACGAATATAAAATATAACTTTCTTTGTATATTTTTTATATCTTTTATCGATCAAATCATTTTATTGTTGAAAAGCTTTTAGATATTGAATTATTAAAAGACAATACAAAGATGTATAGGACATAAGAGTCAACGTAATTAAATATAAATGTAAGAACTATAATATGATATATTATATTAAATGTATAAAAAACAATTCTATAAATAACACATTGTAAAACACATTACATGTTTCGGCTCTTGGATTGAGCCATCCTTAGATAATACAAAATTCACAACTCTAAAATTCATTTCCATCATCATAGAAAAATCGTGATGAAAGTTTTTCAATTTATATAACAATATTGATGAATGCCTTATAGAGACCATGAATTATTTGCAAGCGATTTACTGACCGGTTCGGAATTTCATGATATTCTAATTAAAAAAATCAATTAACCTAACCAATAAATAAAAATAAAAAATTAAATTAAAATCTGAATAAAATCTTTTAAAATGTTATCTACTTTTAAATTTTATAAAAACCAAGCAAAAACATCATGGAAATGAATTTGTGAATTTTGTATTATCTAAGGATGGCTCAATCCAAGAGCCGAAACATATAATATAATATGTTTTACAATGTGTTACTTATAGAATTTTTTTTTATACATTTAATATATCGTATTATAGTTCTTACATTTATACTTAATTATGTTGACTTTTATGTGCCCTATCTTTGTATTGTCTTTTAAAAAACTAAGAGTCCTGTATTATTTGTTATTTGATTGAATTATTAAAATTGTGTTTTTTATTTAAGTGATTTTTATTTAAATGTAAAGTCTTTTATTGTTATTATATAGGAGAGCAAAATGGATATAATATACCGGAGATGGTGCCATGTCCAGATTTTCCTTATTGGTTGAGTGAAGAAGGAGGGACTTATTTGACTGAATTAAAAGACGACCGTCATTTGCCAGAACACGCAAAACGTCTACTTTGTGATGCATACATGTGCATGTATCAATCCCCAGATGTTATGATGTACAAATAACTTGAAAAACAACTCACATAAAAGTCGACAGGAGAGACTATGGAGATCTCTATCGAAAACGAATTTCTATTCAATTATATCATAGCTAAAATAAAAAAAGAAAGAATCGCGCTAATTGCGATATTTGTAATCAGGAGAATCAATCTGCTACAAAGCGACTTTTGGAAAAAAAAAAGGATAAAATAAAAAGTCATTTTGATATCTGACTTGATCTGACAAGAAGATCAGTTCAATCTTTCTCATAGAGAAACAGAACATTAACTCTTGAAATTAAAAATTTACTAGGCCACAAGAAGAAGACTCAATCTGCACTATAGTGCAGTTGAAGTGCAGATAACTTTATTATAATAATTAAGAAAATAAATCAATAGCGAGTATAAAAATATAAACACGGACAAGTAATTTATTAAGACATAAAATATTAACGAAAAGTTTTTATTATAATATTTTGAGGCTCAAGTTACAAAATTCGACTCAATAATATTTTTAAGAACACAATTGTAAAATATTTCTGCTTAGAGACAAAACATGATGCTGTAAATAAAATTAAACGAATAAATTCGGAGTTGATCCGTCACTCCTGTCGATTCTTAAGTAAGTTGATTCTGACATTACGGTAAAAGTGCAATCTCTTGCTTTTAGCTTTCTGCAACGATGTAATAAAACATAAATCTATTTAAATTGTAAACTGAGACACTCCTAAAGTCTCAAAATTTATGTACAAAATAGGAATATACGTTTGTATGCAAGCAGATAATATACAGTTATAAAAAATAAAATTGACATTATTTATTTGAAGATGCATTTGTTAGATTTGCATCATAAAAGAATTAATACTTCTTAATGAATTTTTTAACATGTTTTATTTAATAATATTCATGTCATTCTAGTTATGTCATAATATTCATAATGATAATATTGTCAAATAGGAGTATACTTTTGTATATAATACACACAGTTATTTAAAAAATTGACAATACATTGATACATTATTTCTTTGAGAATATCAGATGCATCTATCAGATTTGCAGCATAACTCTGGTGAAAATTTTTATAATTTTTATACGAATTGGAACAATTCAGAAATAGTGAGAATCTATATCTTTTTTATACCTTTTTTTAGAATTTTTTATTTATGCAAATTCAGAAATATTCTAAGAGATTTTATTCTATAATTTTTGAAAAAATATTTTTAATTCTTTCAGATTTTATAAGCTTCCACTATAGAAATTATAAAATAAACAATCTTGAAAATTTTATGATATTTCAAAATTGAAATATATAAAGAATTTTAGAAAAATCGTGAATTTTTTCGATATTTTTGCAAAATGTTCCAATTTATGAATTTGTAAAAGAAAGTGATAAACTTTCTATAAAGTTATAAAATTATTTAGAAATTCTGAAAAATTTTGAAATGTACAAAAATTTTGAAAAATTACATAAAAAATTTTTCTGAGAAAATTTTCACGAGGGAAAAAACTTTTTAATTAATGTAATCTTTAACATGTCCTAAGTATTCGAAAATTCTGTCATGCATCAACTATAGGTGAACCATCTCAGAATCAGCTTCTTGGTCAATCACAACTGGATCAAGTCAGATTAGGTTAGAATACAGCACGCATGCATTGTTTTCAGACCGAAAGTTTACTCTGAATTAATTTACACTTTAACTGATAATGCTAGCGAGGCGACTGGCATTCGCACGCGGTAAACAACTGTGCAAGCATTCGTGCTTCCCGGATGATGCACTCGCTCAGATAGCACGTAGTTACGGTGTAGAGCATGAGCAACGACAGCACGAGTGGCGAGAAAATGAGGTGATGTCGGTGATGCCCAAAATCGGAGATGATCCGGAGAAACCCAAGAGGTTCTTCTGGTTTCCCACGGCCGCTCTCAAAGAGACCGACTTAGCCTTTGGTAATATCTTAAGGTGGTTAAAGTATAATAAGGTTCAATATATCAAATTATGTCAGTCGTTCCATCCGATGAGGCACGAGATATTAGGCCCCGATCTGGCTACCGCTCATTTTATCATTCATCGTGGCGGCCGGATCAGATTCAAGGGCAACACTTACTGGACAGAACAGAATAAGAAGGGTTCATACGAGTTACCTGGCAAATACGATCCACGCTACATGCTTGAGGCGGTGGACGTCAATGGATTTGATCTGTATTACGAAGGTCTAAGTAACTTATGCGGTCTCACGAAGCTCAAGTGGCTCAGTCTCAAGGACTGTAAGAACATCGACGACTGGGGCTTGGACAAGATCTCGGCCGAGTTTCCTAAACTGGAATATCTGGACATCTCCGGCTGCGAGAAGATCACTGAAAGAGGTCTGGAATCTCTGTACAGAATGATGAATTTGAAGAAATTGATTGTAACGAATCATAATAAGTCTGTTGCTTTTGAGCTAAGTTGCTTCATGTTGGAGGATTGCACACCAGGATTGACTTGTGAAATTCTTATGCCTGGAGAAAAATTGAAAGACTAATATCGAATAAAAGATTAGAATCATAATGCAGCTTGTAACTAAAAGGAAAGATATTTATCTTTATTTATACAGTATTTATTTAATTATTTTTTGTACAATCTTAAGGAACTATAAATAGCGAATTCAGTCACTTGGATTACTAAATTGTTGTACTAAAAGCTGCTGTACATGAAATTAGCAAAGTTAAATAAATAAAAGTTAAATAAAGGTTTATAAATATTTTGAACAATTACCTATTGTTTATTGAAATTTACATGTATCATTTCATTGTTAAAATTGGTTAGATTATGCTGCATTTAGATTACTTACTATTACACTATCACTTAAAAGTATTTACTCACTTTGTCTTCTTTAATTAAATAAAGAAGAGTGAATACATTTCAATCTTCTTTTCCAATTTTCTAGATGTTAGACTTAATAATAATATTTGATTTGGTTCTGAATTTTGTACTATATATAGATATCTCTGTATAAAGAGAAAATAGTAAAATTAGAATTTAGACATATAAAACAAGGTACATAAAAAATCGAGATGAGTAAGTACTTTTAAATGGTGTAATGCATATTATTTATATTACTTTAAAACAGTCTTTATATACTGATCCAGTGTAATGCAGTGGCCTAATTCACCATTACACAAATGTCAAGTGGAATTCTATAATATAAATAATATAAA